CACCATGAGAGATCACGCTCCAACCATCTACACACACCATCACCTAGCTCACTTCAAATAAATGCACAAGTTCCAATAACGCACCTCATCCCTCTGTACATTTCTCCAATTGACATCATCATCATCATTTTTTCCTCTTAGAATTTTTTCCATCAATCCTCTCCGACATTTGCCCACTTGAATTATCAATTATTTCTGCAACATGCATTAATAAAAATAATAATAGTCCCTATTAATTAATTATTTATAAATAAAAATCAACAATTATTGATTGGATATCTGACATAAAAAACAATAGAATCCAAGAGCAAGCGAGCAACGCGAGCGTCACGGATTTTACACAGTCAAAGGACTCGCGCCACCTCGGAGAAGGCGGTTACCTGGTGAATTTGCGTGAAACGACTCTCGTCGGGCGATATAAACCACGGTGCGATGTTATAAGAGAAGTTGAACGGAGGGAGAAACGAGGAGAATGAGTCCTCTTGAGATACCCTCTTGCCTGCGTGAGCCCCTTGAATGCACCAGGTGAGGTGAGGTGAGGAGAGAAATAGCAGGTACCTCACACACGATGGGTATGCCAGCCTTGAGCCAGAGACTGGTTTTCTGTTTTTGCTTCCATATAGTTTCATCCTTCGCGTCCAGTAGTCCATCCTTCTTCGATTCTTTCTCACTTTGTCGCTACTCCTCATTCTCCCCACCCCTCGATCCACCATCAAGCGCCCCCCTGGCCCCCCCTGGTCCCCCTCTTGACCATCGTCAGGCCCCGCCGTCCTCCCCTTGTCCTCCCCCAGGTCCCCCGAACCGTCACAGCCCTCCCGCCCCCTCTCAACTGGGCCCCATTGCCACCCCAGTTCGGGCCTCCGGCCTGGGCCTTTTTTTCGACTGTGTTTCGCTTTTTTAGGGGCCTTTCTTTGTTTCTCATCTCGGTTACAATCTTGCATTCTGGTGTTTCTTTTAATTATTGGGCCTTAGGGGGGAGGGAGCTTAATGGGGTTGCTTACAGAGAATCCGGGGATTTTCGCTTGGAATATTTCGATGATTGTTGGGAACAGGTAGAATAAATTACGTCTTGATTTAGTGGTAGTAATTTTTTGGGTTTCATTTTTTTCATATTTTTGATTTTTACTGTCAGGAAAAAAAAATATACAGTATCTTGTGAGAGTGAAGGTAATTTTATGGAGATTAATAATTCTATTATTATTATAGAATTATAATTATTATTGTAGGGATTATGGGGATTATGTGGGCGCGGCGCTCCGGCGCACTCCTCGACTGCGCAACTTCCGTTGCCATTCACCGTCCCCCAAGATTTTTCAAAACCTCTAAAAACCAATAAAAATGGTCAAATTCCCCTGATGACCCGAGATTTTCCAGTCATTCCACCACAAAATCGGAAATTCTTGACTATTCCGCATGCTTCATCAAGATAAACTCCAAACGGAAATACCCAAACAGAATACCTCCCCAATATTCTTAATTATGAATAGATCGAGCGTAAAACACTTCCAAGAAATTTCTCCGAGGCAGTAAAAAAAAATTCCGGCAAAAGCCGAAGGACACATGTCAAAGTGAAAAGGGGAAACGCGGGTGGCCGTTAAAATTTCTTCCGGCGTTGAATTACCGAACTCTTCACCGGTGCAACTTCACATTCTCCCTCGGACCCAATCACTGTTTTATATTTCAGTCCCCCACATACGTAGGTATTTTTTTTACTTCTATCTGTCCCTGGGGACTAGAGCCTCGTAAAATTCCCCGTTGAATTTTCGGCACCGCCTTTGCCGCGTTTTAATGCCAATAAAAACTGTCATTATGCACGTTCACGCACTACAAACGACAATAATAATCCATCTTTAATGAATCATTAACACATCAGCTCGAGTTTAATATTTCGAAATTGGTAAATTACAGATACGACAGCCTCAATTTTTTACATTTCAATTACCGATTTCCTCCCACCATAATCCAAAAATCAGAAATATTATCCCTTCCACCCATTAACTGTATAATTACTCCATTAATTAATACAATTACCATAATCACATATTTTTTTAAATTTTAATTAATGATTATTATAAAATAAATGAAACAAAAAATGTGAGATGTGAGTAATAAATAATTTAAAAAAAAGAATTGGCCAACAATTGAGACTGAAAATTGCGGAGAATTAGTGAGAAATGACTGGTGATATCGGGCCGACATCGGGGAGATACCATGGGCGAGGTCGAAGCCCGGGGTAAAGTAACACCTTGACCTCCAGAACCAGAGGTACACCAATGATTTCCCCTCGGACTTCTTTCACCATTACATTCCTCCCTTCGCCTCTCTCCTTTCATCCCTATTCACCACATCGCAAGGTATTTCGCAGGTACACACGTTTCAACAGGTTCAAAGCCAGGAATATCCTGGGACACATTGGACACTCGGCATTCCGAGTTTCTTCGGGACATACCCCGATGGGAATTGAAGAAAATATCTTGGGTAGCACGACGTGTGGGATCCACCTGTTGATTCATTCACCGATATTTTCAGGGAGATATGCCGCAAGTTTTTGCCATCTCCAAACCTGAGGGGGAATCACACGTGCGGAAATTTCTCGTCATTCCAAAATAATTGGGGATTATAGCTTCGATCAAATTATTTAATATTATTTTTATTACCATGGGCCGAAAAGTAATTTTTTCAATTGAATGTCATTGTAATTCTTTTGAAGATTTTCCGAATAATCTGAGATTTCCACACGCGTGAAAAATCTTTCCGGTGATTTAAAAATTCTTTGGACGACGTGCGTGCGGTGCGGTACCATCAAAAAGTCTTGACAAATCATCGATTACTGTCAAATTAAATAAATTATCGTATTAGAAATAAAATAACAGTACAATCTGTGATATTATCTCTGGGATTGATGTCCTCCACAAATCGTCAACAAATCCGATTAAACCAGACAGATAAATCATTCAAAATGAAATTGAGAATAACCTTAAAAATGATTAACTAACCAATTATTCAATTAATTATCCAATGTCAACCAAGATTTTGAAATTTTAATATTGAAATTAATAAATATTTCAAAATTATATTTTAAATTTTAAAAAATCATTTATCCCATTTTTTACATGGGTGAAATTGTTGATATATCATATAATATAATATAATACACCATTTTATTTAAAATAATGATTCGTCTAGAATGAGAAAAAAAATATTCTATTCATCAATTGAATTTAATTAAAGCAAAAAAATATAAATAAATGAAAATAAATGGTTAAAAATGGTAGCAAATGACTGAAGATGTTCTTTCATAATTGACTTCAGTGAAGACATTGATTTTTTATCCTTTAATTATCCCGGCAATAACCCGACTCTAGGTACCACCTAACGCGAGTTAATTAGTCCGGTAGGTTAATCATACTACCATTACAACTTGTCCGACATTCCACCGAATGTCCGCCCAATTATCCCAACTACTTGCTCTCCTTCTCTATTTCGCTCGTCTTCATCCACTCGTATTAATTAAATACTATCGGTCTGTACCCCTTTTTTTATTTAGTTTATCAACAAACGGATGCATTTGCTCTACAACTGTTGCAATGTGAAGCGGAAGTTCGGACAGAGATACTTCTTCCCATCTTTCTACGTCGACTTATTAGCGTCATTTGCAATTAAGTACGTGGGAATTAAACTTCGTCCATTATTTTTTCATTCCATCTCTTTTTGTTTATTTTTAACAATTCATTGAAGTTATCCAGTCGTTTGCATTAATCAGAGAGTAATAGAATAAAAATTAAAATAAAAGTTTAAATAAAACATAATAATAAAAGAAATTTAAAATCCCGAATGATGAAGTAATAAAAAAAATATATAATAACTTTAAATATTTTTATGGAATTCAAATTTATTTATTCCAGAGCCATTTTTATTATGCGTAATTATTGATAATGAATTTTATGAAAAAATGGTGGCGAATTTTTTTTTTGCAAGGCTAGATCATTTTTATTAATGCAAGAAAAATAAATATATGCAATCAATTCTGGACTCGAGTGATACTTAACTATTCATGAGTCAATTCTATTCTCATCTATTCTCAATTTATAATTAAGGCACTAGTTTTCCTGAGTACATAAAGATAAAGATTTAAAATAGGTGTTTAAAACGCTCGGTGGAGGGAAGGAGTTGTCAGTCGTCTGCAATTTTCTTTCCAATTGTTTTCAATTAATTTCTTGGTCATGATTTTTTGGCAGAAGATCTTCCTGCTGGTGGTAATTTTGGCAGCTGTCAGCCAGTGCAATTCTTTCAGTAAGACCAATATCATAAAATCCCAAAATCATCATCAATTTTTAATCAATCACCAAAAAATTAATACTCGTTACTTTCATTTTTATTTTAATAAATTGTTTATTTTAACGAAATCACTGATTATATTTTCAGGTTTTTGCCTCACCCATTCCGATTGTAAAGACGCGTGTGACGGTTCATTTGCACCGATTTGTCAATATTTTTTCTGCACTTGTTCACCCATCAATGATGCGGCGGGTTCTCCGGTAATTTTTTTTTTTTACCGAATTAATAATAATTAAATTTCCATCTCCTTTCATTTTAATTACCTTTTTCAGAGTGATACCACTGACGCGTGATCAGACGACTGTCAAAAACTCAGGAGATAATGATGTAATGAAATTTGAAAAATAAAATAATTAAACAATTAACTGCATTTTATGATTATTTGTTATGGTAATTTTGGAATCATCAAAATTAATATTAGTATATACAATATAAATGGAATAAATAAATAAATAAAATAAGGTGAATAAAAATAGGCGGAAGTCCCAGTAGAAAATTGTGGAAGGATTTGCAAATTTTGTAATCACATTTGCATGAGGAAATTCATAATCTTTTAAATGTTCAATAGAATGTTGTCTTATCTCCACGGAATATCATCACAATTTTATCAATAATGATAAATACCGGGGTGTCATGAAATCGGCGTATGTCCATGTCAAAGTCGAGGAAATAAAATCAGTCCTCCGTCAGATTTTGTTGACGATTTTTCCTCAGAAATTCTATCGTCATGATTCCTCAACGAAAACTGGTGCTCTTGCTGATAACATCCGTCGCCATGATAGATGCAATAAGTAAATTACATAAACAATAACTGAAAAATTTACAGTAAAAAAAAAACATAAAAAAAAATTCCAAAACGATTGATTCTGAAGAAATTGAGATTCTGGTAAAACCAAAAATTTTTTAAATAATCCACAACTCGTCGAACTCCATAAAAAATGGTTAAATATTTATGCAAAAAAATATAGAATAATAAAATTATCATGAAATATTTTCATGCAAGTGTTAGAATAATTCTAATTTCAAAATGAGAGTGAGAATTTCTTGAGAGCAAAAACGTTTTGCCATTACTGAACGTCAATTTCAGGTGGTGTGAATTTAACTGTAAATAAATTTTAATAACAAATAGTTGTCCGTGTGACCGTGAAATTAATGGAAATGATTTTCAATAGCTTTCTGCATCGCTCCCACAGATTGTATAGCACATTGTCCAGGGCGTTTCGTACCCATTTGCATGCTTGGACTCTGTACATGTGCACCACTGCCTCCTCCGTCTTCACCCGAGGTATTTGTTTATTTAAAAATCCTCCAACAATCTAGAATAGTACAGCCCATTTTTTCCGATCGACGCGCGCAAATTTTACGATTTTATCCCAAAAATTGCGCGAATAAATCGTTTTTCACTCCCAATCCCAAAAATATAACAATAATATCATTTTATAAATAAATAAAAGTCCTACATAATTATTTTTCCCTCCAGAATGCAACGAAATCTGATTGACCATCGGCGCGTGACTCCTGGAAAATGACTGGAAATTTTTTTGCGAAATTGTAATCGAGTGAATAAAATTAATATCATGGAATTATTTCAATGCAGTAATTTTCCTTTAAGGAATGGTTTTTCCCTTGAAATATTATCAATTTCCACAGTAATTACCATCGATGCTAATTACCCACATGACAAGCTTATCAGTGATTCCCAAGGAAATCGATTCAGTATTTGCCATCAGTTTCAACACAACAGTTCGTCGTAATGATTCTAAAAAAATTATTATTTCTATTTTTCATTATTGGAATGATGTGGGCCTCGACGTACGGTACGTGCAATTACCAATTACCACGACAAAATTGGAATGACAATTAAAATAATTCCCGATTCCTCAATTTCCCCTTTTTTTCTGTATTTTTTTTGTTGAAAAAAAAAATGATGACTCGACGTGCGGTAATTAATTGAAGAATAATTTTTTTAACAGCTGATTGTACAGAGGATTCTGAATGCAATAAATATTGTCCGATACATGGAACTATTGGTTCGTGCCAGGAGAATGAATGTCACTGCCCACAGGCACCCGAGGAATAACGCAAACAATTAAATATTTGCGATAATTAATAAATTAAACAACGACTCTTCAAAAATTGTTGCGACTTCTCAATAAATTGTAATTTGGAAATCAATAAAATTATATAATCCATTAAAAAAATAATAATATACAAAAAAAAAGTCGCGATATTTTCATTTAATTATTCCCATTAAACAAATTTTGTTTATGAATTAAAAAATGCGTTGTCGTTAATTTTTTTATTGTAGTTTTAATATTTTTATGTTATTGTATTTTTTACTGAATACTATTGACAATTAGTTTTTACGGAATTTTCATGATAATTTTTGTGGTAATCGCAGGGATTAATAGCGCATTCAGCTACTTCGAATTCATTATGCAAATATAAATAATATAAACAATTGTTTTCCTCAATTTCATTCACGAACATCTGGCATTAGTAATTCAAAATTCATGAGAATATTTCAGTAGCAAGTACGACTTGACAGGAATTGCTGACAATTTCATAACGAGAAGGAAAATTATTCTGGTAAACTTTATTCATTAATTTCTACTCGACAAATTTACTTGATTAACATAATTAATTAATCCAACGACTCAACATAAATAAATATTCGGCGTAGAAAAAAATTTACTTGAGTCAATTAATTGTTAGTAAAAAGTAAATTTATTTGGGAAAAATAAATATTTTCCTTGGTGCAGAGTTATGATTCTCCAAGAGCTGATTCTCCTGATTCTCGGAGTAACGATGGCCAACGCGATTAGTAAGTATTTTTTGGAATATATTTTAGGATTCAGTTTATTTAATCTTTCGGTTTAAAATAGCTTTCTGCTTGACCCATACGGATTGCCTGACAGATTGCCGCGGACCATTCGTTCCTGTCTGTATATTGGGCCTCTGCACCTGTTCACCAATTCTATCTTGAGTAAATGAAATGATATATCAATATTAAATTCCACGTTACAACAAATTTTCAATAATATCTGCAGTTTTTCTGCGCAAAAGTCTAATTTTTGTATTTTTCTCAGGAATTCCACCGCAGGCCACAAATTCCAATTCTGAATTCCCATTCTTCCACTGAAGTTGACAATTATTTTTTCTTATCACTGGAGTAATTACTATTTTCCACGTCATAATGCGGAAGACTACATTTATCATGAATTAATAAAAACAATGAGACATCAAATGATATTTAACATTATTATTAAAATTTTTTTCTATGATCGAAAAATCGGTAAAAAATCGGTTAAAAAATCGGTGAAAAATCGGTAAAAATTATCCAAAAAATAAGTAATAATATGGGGAATGGACTCCGATAGCTTGGATTTGTTGGAATCGAACCCCCGGAAATATCTCCTCGACTCCCACATCTCCAAGGACTAAAATGATTTCTCTTTTTTTTTTTCTCGTGTGGTCCGACAACCCCGAGAATAAATTCTGGGGATGTGGCAATTAGGGAACGTGACCAGTCTCTTCACCTTCATTTTTGTGTATCCCTGGACACCTCCTCGACGTATTTTCCATGGGAATGACTATCGGGTTACCGAGATCGGTATCAGGCCCTCACCGGGTTCAGTGTTAAATGATCTCGCGGGTCAGGGGATACGTTTCGTACTTATTTCTTTTTTTTTTTTTTTCAACGTATTTCTGACGCAAATTGTCTTTGATCTGAATTTACTAGTCATTTATTTGGCTTTATTGCTAATAAATTTTGGGGAATTTAACCGTTAATTTGTTATCGCTGGATCTGAATTGCGAGAGGCGCGACGAGGAGTTCGTTAAACTCATTTATTTCAACTTTTTTTTTATTAATTATTCGCATTTTTCGCGGTTATTTTTCAAAACTAGTTGAAAAATTTTATTTCGCGGAATTTTTCCGTGGGACGTACATTAAATAATTAAGCACTTCAACCATTAATTTAAATTGCACATTAAAAATAATTATTACTTTCATTATATCTGTTTAATGTCTAATAATAATGATAATTCCTAATTTGGCAGAGGGGAAGTTGATTGAAAAAAAATTAATTCAATGATTAAAATCGGTAGCAATAATAAATGAATAATGATTAAAAAATAAATTGATCAGAGTGACAATTTATTTTCTTTTTCATTATATACGGATGGATTTTAATTGACGGATATCATCTCGGAAATAAAATTGCCGGCGAATTATTTTTTTTTGCGCAATGAAATTAAGAGATCGCGACTTGAGGCTTATGATCTGGGCAGAATGCCCTGAAGGCTAACGAGGATCGGCCAACACCTCCTTATCCTTATCTCAGCCCTCGTTACCGTTATAATTCTTCGGCGAGAGACGAGCCAGGCGTTAATTATCGTACACCCAACCTCTCCCCAGTCATTTATCACCGCAATTGTTTATTTCCTCGGGATTTAATTTTTTTTTCCGAGGCGACACTTACGCAAGGGTGAGTACGCTAATTGTCATTGTCACTGTGATTACCAAAATAATCTGAAACCTCAATAATTGCGGGGAAAAAAAATGTACCGGCCATTTTTTCTCTGGACTAATTAGTTCCGCGAAAATAATCGCGATAAATGATTCAAAATAAAATATCAAAAATAAAAAAAAAGATTAATTTGCAATTTATTAATTAACTTTCATCAACATCAATAATTCATTTGCTTAAATTCAAATTCGAATTTAAGTTTGAGTTTGAATTTCTTCATTTTTAATTTTTAATTTTTCAACTTTAATTGCGATTTGATCTTTTAATTTTTTTTTTATTTTCAATTTTTTGTTCAACTTTTTATTTTCATTCTCCCCTCGGTATAAATAAAAGCATAAATCACCCGCATCTGATAAAACCCGTTGTTTGCAATTTTTTCGAGTATCGGCGACGCATCTGTAGCGACAGAATCTCCACCTGTTCTCAACCCCATGAATGTACACCGGGGGGTTAATTCCTCCTCTCAATGGGGTACGTCGTATTCTCCTCTTTATTAAGTGTTATCCCGTGTGCATCTGTCACAATCACTCCAGCATTGTCGATGATCCCAAGGGTTGATGAATGAAATGCCACGTGCTTCGCCCTCACAAATCCCCGATGTAACACGAGATCACTATCCATTACACGATGTGGAGCACTTTTTTCACCCATTTTTTTCACCTCTCGTGTTTCAAGCGGCACTCGTCAGAAAAAAAAAAGACCACTCCAAAAAAGCGCCAGCCCTTCCTTTCAATCTCTTCTCAAAAAAAAAAAAACCCAGAGAATAATTGCATCCAAAAAATCTCAAAATTATTCCCACCGAATGATGAATTAAAAGAGGATTTAATGTGACGAAAATCAAATAAAAATTTTGGGTTTCAAAAACATAAATTGAGAGAGTTGGAAAATTTTTGGAATTAATTGTCCACCGCAAATCAAAAATGGGAGGAAATAATTAATCGTGGATTAATTCATGAATTAATGGTGATGATTCCCTATCAATTGCAATCACTTCATGTGTTATTAATTAATGAATCAACTGAATGAAAAAAAGGAATGAGGGCGTGTAATTATTGAGGTGTAACGCGAAACAATCATTGAATGAATTTTAATTCGGGTTGAGTAATTAGGTTTAATACGGGGTAGACTCACACGACGGGAGACGTTATCTTTACAATCGTAATTATAACGTCAGGAGATATATATTGTTGGGAGTATCGCATGTGGTCATTCAATGATAAAATTAATGGGTGAAATCGATGGTTCAATAAGCCCCGGCAGAGACGTATAGATTGATTAATCCCGAGAGATAATTGCTGGTCAATCTCATGTTCAATTTTCGATAATTGATGATCGGGAGATGAAATCGCTGCCCAAAAAAGTAATTGATAATTTATCAGAAGAATTCAGAATAATCCCTTTTCAAATTGCAATTTTGAAAATTCAGGCTAGAGAATTTTTTCAAAATACTTTAGTTTTCTTTATCGTTTTATCGGATTTAACTGGAGCATCACCCAGATGGTATTCCCCCATGGATATATTTTTTACTCCGAGTTCACTAATTCGCTGAACCCACGTGGTTCGTTCAAACTGAATTAAATGGACCCCGTGACGGGCATCTGAACAAATTTATTGCCGATATAAACCGAGAATGAGAGAGACCCCCCGCCATGCACCAGAGGCAACAAAAAAATTGTCTTGCTTCCGCAGTGCTCTTCACTAAGTACCGTGACATCGGTATACCATACCGAAGACCAGAGCCTCCCCTTTCCCAGTGGTTTGATAAAAAAAAAAAAAATATATAATGCATCGAGATGTGAGGATGCCGATCGATCGAAGAAGTATAAACGACGCCTCGCTAACGGAATGGAAAACGCGGTTTCTCCTATTAAGTATTCATTAATTTTCGTTAATGGTAATACGGGGAAACATGTATGGGTTCTCAAGATTTTCGGTATAAGAATTATTGATAGTCGGTGAGAGGACGGATGGGTCGAACCGGAAAATTCAATTGGAGGTGGAAAATGAAGGATCAATGATAAAATTTTATTTTTTAGTTAATGATAAATTAAAAATATATTATATATTCAGTATTTCGATGAGCTCTTGGTGACCCCTGAAACCCCTGAAGATGCCGTCCTCAGGGACATGCACATCAGCCCCGGGGTTTTGTCGAGGAGGCGTATCACTCCTGCGGTTCACCGCATGTCCAACACGACCCGCTCTCCTCTCTCAGGTGAAACCATCATTACGCGGTATATACAAGTGCATCTTGACTCTCCGGTTTTGCCCCCGCATAACGTGTACACATACCTCCCACTTCCCACCTCCCACCCTCGATCATCGGGAGATGAACCGTGACCGCCGACGAGAAATTTCCGGTCAATGTTTCCGGTGATTTCTCGAGGCAGAATGTTCGATCGAAGGATGCGGTTCATCATCGATAGTGATCTACAGCCTGAGCGTGCAATCGTGTTCATGTTCCTTAGGGGATGGGGGTCACATGTCACGGGGATCAGGTCAAATGATTAGGAAATATTCGGCCATTTTTTTATTCCATTGCCTGTTCTTCCCTTTTATGATGCTCCTTCGTACACACCTTCACTAATTCCGCGATTCCGCGATGAACCACATTTTCATCAACTCTCTAAATGTTAAATTAGGCAACAAAACAGAATGAACTTCACGCTATTTAGAAATTCGTTCCAGTCTCAATCACCGTGTCATTTCCCATTGTTTTTTTTTTTCCCGTGGGTCGAAGCGAAAAAATATCTAGCGCCAAACTGCCTCCATCAGTCTGTTTCATCTGAGGTGCGAGAGTCCGAGCTAACTCAGACAAGAATCAGTTGGCTATCTTTCGGGGTCGTGTCGGTTCCACGGGGAGTTAGGCACGGGGTTAGTCCACAATAAGCCCGCCCACTGCGACAAGAGAGGAAGAGAGGAGCGAACTGTTCTCGCTGGGGAATCAAATAAAAAGATTGACTTTGAAGAATGAAATCTAAAGAAAAGAATAGCTTTACAGCTGATTTAATTGGACTCCCGGATCTTTCCATTGTTGGTGCGGGCTTCATTGTCAGCTGAATTCCCCAATAAGATTTTACAATCAACAATCCAAACTCTCTTATTCTCCCAATGAATTTCTCAATTTAATCCTAGATTGTTTTTTTGTCAATGACAATTAATGATTAATTATTTAATTTATGGTTGGGACATTATTGTTATGCAATTGGTAGAGTGGATTTGAGAGTTATATTAATTGATGGAATTGAAACAACTGCGATGAGAAGTTAATCCTTAATTCGAGTAGAAACCATTGATACATCATGTTCGACATGTTCACGTGTACATGGAGTATCGGTTGTATCCCAACTTGAATAGATGATCGATGTGTTCGAGGGGATATGGACCAGCGGCTCCCAGCAGTTCTCGTAAGGCATTATCTCCTCCTAGTCGTCGGGATTTCTTCTCGTCATTAATCTATCAAACCGGGTACACGTCTCAGCCTCACGGTCAATTCACGTCGGTGTGGCTTTGTCAGAGTCTAGTTATCGAGCTGTGGAACACGCTTGTGACGGTGTAAATCGGGATGATAATCAATATCTGACAGATGTCGGTTTTAATATTTTCATATATTTTAATATATCTTTGAATATTTTTTCAACCTCGGGAATCTCGGAATGGAATTCATCTTTCGTAACTCACTATTTTTCATACTCATACTTCATCTCATATCTTT